GGGAGCAGCAGGGAAGAAGGGAGACTAATCTAGTCTACTTGTATTGTGAAAACCCCTCCGAGGAACTGCAGTGTAACTTGAACAAAACTCCCTCCCAAATTTTGGCAGGTGTAGAGATGTGCAATAGATCCTAAGAACCGTCTAGACTTTTCTGTCTAAAGTAACCTACCACCACCACGAAAAGCACCCCAGAAGACATCTGATACCTTGCATTCATGCAAAAACATTAGGACAGGGCTTACACTTACAGATTTGCACTGATCCCAATCTCAGTCTGTTTCCCAGATTAAGAACATTATTTTGAGCAAGAATTGAGGGGAGAAAAAACAACTTTGAGGGGGTTAAGGGGAAGACCTGGAACTAAGCCATTAACTATCAGTTTACTATTCAGAGAGAATTAACACTTCTACTGTTGATAGATGTCAGCTATTCAGCAACAACATATCTGACTCCCAAGCTACTAGAGATGTGTGTTTTATAAGTAGAGTCATTAAGTAGTCCTATGGTTTTTTGCTCAACTTCTGTGCTGGACATTACCAAATAATTTACCTACCATAAAGCAATAAAAACAGTTAACTAATGTATTACAGACACAGGTCCAAAACCAGCTGACTCACCACCTCTTCTTTCCTCACACCATGCCACTTTTTCTCCCTCTCTTCTCTTGTGAGAGCACAAGGGACAGGTAAGATAGACAGGGCAAGCAACTGAGGAAAGAAAAGGGATGGTAAACTGAAAGGTGACAGGGATCATTTTCCATTAGTTCAGGAACTTGCACAGATTCTCAGGATAGCTCATAAAATGTTAAAGCTGCCATGAGGAAGCGGGTGGAGTACAAGCCACTTGAACAGAGGAAGAACACATAAGTACAAGACCTCCTTCACACAGCACTGCCATAGGGATCATTGCTCACTGTCTCAAGGAAATACAGCCTTGTTATTATGAACATGTACTCATCTCTTCTCTGTTGGGTGACTAACAAACTAACAGCGTCTGGTGTCTCAGGGTAGCACCAAGTTCAACTACAACCCTCAGCCCATCAAGGGGGCTCCCTTAGACCTTGGATAGCTGGCTAGGCAGGACCACCAATATCTTCTTTGCGTCGTTACCTTCACACATTCAAATGTTCTAAGAATACAACCTTCCCACCTAAAAAAGTCACTCTTATTTTGGTCTTCCCCTTCAGGATCTATTCAGTTGCCACTTTTAGTTTCCAAAGACTCCCTGCACACACCAACTTCAGTCGATCCTCCCAAGCTTTGAAAGATCATCAATTCCAGGAGGACTGTTGACATACCCCACGGTACATGCCATTATACAGTCCACATCGTTTTATAACTGTTATTATGATAGCTGCCTCATTTCCTCCATGTATTTCCAGGATGGAAAGAAATTAAGAAAAGGCAGAAGGGAATCAAGACAGCAAACAAACATTAGAAAGAGAAAAGAGTTATTTCCTAAATGGGTGAACCAGCACCTGAAAAGGCAAATGAAAGCAAGTAAAAATGGTCTGCAAGACAGCTGTGAAAAGCTGAAGCAGCACAATAGGACAGGTACAGGGTGAAAAGGAACAAACTGAAAAGTTCTAGAAGAAGGAAAACAAATGCAGTTTTCTTTAATATAGAACATACTGGGAAGGTTCCAGTGTAACACCACAGATGCCATTCTGCATTATTTCAGAGACAGGGATTACTTTAATGGAAGAGTTCAAGGTCCTTTAAAAGGATAAAAATTAAATCTAGAGCAGACAGTGGAAACTTAATTCAGTAATAATTTGAGCCTAGGTAGAACTGACTTTCTAGGGCCCACATACCTGATGATTTCTTAGCTATCGTGATTGTTTACCTTTGCATAAATTTTCAAAGCAAAACTTTAGTTTTATCAGTTGGTGTGAGCCACTTATAGGGTCCAGAAAAGAGCTCAAAGGCCTTAGCTCGCCAACAAAAAATAAAAGCCTTCAAGAGATCTTTGAATTACTGTCCAGTGTACAAAGGTAAAAAAACCCTTTCCTTGTTCCATTTTTTTAAGTAGTTTCACAATCACTCATAACACTGCCACCTTCTGAAGCATCAATTACTTCTGAAACAAAAAAAAACACCACAAAATAGAACTGAACAAGAGCTGCTTATGGTCAGCATCACAAAATGTCTCCTGCATAAACCAGCTTGTTTATAAAAGAAGTTCTCCTTGTGTATTCAATTTTAAGCAACTCTTTCACATTTCTGCTTAATCATCTGCATCCTAACCAAGCAGGCACAGTCTGTGGCCTCACCAGGCATTAGGTCTGGCTTTGCTGAGGACAGGCTTACCTAGAACAGCCAGAACGGTACAGACATTTCTTGTCTGTCCCCATCTTCCTGCAGGGTGGAACTGCTGGTCTCTGTCTGCCAGCAGGGATGCAAAGGACATCTCTCTGTTGAAGGTCACAGCAGGACAGAAGGAAAGGGCAAAGCCTTCAACTTTGATAATGAGTGCTTTACAGTCCCCCTCTGACTGACAGTTGCACAGAAAGCCTTTTGCAACATGTTCCTATTTTCAGTATTTCCAACCAACATATTTAGCCTGGAAAAACAGACTACATACACATACATTCACACTACCTCAAAATAAATCCACTCATTCCATTTAAAATCCATCTATAAATCCTTCAGTGTCTTTTTAATGAAAAACTAAAACCTTTGCCTTGTAATAAAAGAACTGGTGGGTAGAATTGGGTTGTAAACCACCCTGACCAGAAGAGCTATGGAGACTGTGCTTAACCTTTAGTCACTCCATATAGATGCAATCTCAGATTGACAGGCCCTCTGCTGTGCTACACTTTTTAGCAGTCCTTCCTACAAAGCCGTTGATTGAGACCATTCCACCAGTACCCATTATCATGCTCCAGACTAACTTTGAGGACGACTATAAGCTTCACCACTTCACAGGGTAAATTATGACGTATGTTAAGGAAAAGTCTTTTCTGACTCTTTTGTTTCATAGAGTCAAATCTTGAGAATTATTTTGTCAATAGCTTTTGTCCACACTTTCACTGAACCCTTACAAGAACTCCAGCAGGTTTGCAAAGCAAGACACCTCTCTACAGAAGCCAGAAAAAAACAGATTTCCCTCACAAAATATTTTCAGGAAACTAAGCAGACATGGAATCAAAGTGGAGTCTTTACAGAGAAAGAGATTGTAGGGAGGAGAAGGACATGATAAAGCCCTGTAAAGCAGAAGTGGCACAGAAAAACAGGAAGAGCACTGATAATGCATCTTCTTTTCCAATACAGGAACTAGGGAGTGCCAATGAAGCTAGCATGTAACAGGTCCAAACAAGCAATAAAAAAGTGATTCTTCACACAGCAGTATGCAATGCATGTTCAACATCCATATGGGTTCAGGGGAAGGTGAACAGATCCATGAAAAAAGTGCCACAGAAGTCATGTCTGACTCTGAAATACTCAAACAAATTGTTGAAGGCTTCAGGAAACCTACAGAAGGAAACCCACAATATGGCATCTTTCCTGTGATCCTCCTTAACATATACCTTTTTGGCAAACATTCAGGATCAGACACTAAGCACAGGACACAGGATTTTCACAGCTGTGCCACAGCACCAAAATATAGATGGCAGCTTCTTTCTAATTACTTTTATCCTAAGACTTAAGAAAACTGTTATATCTTCGCTAATGAAAGCTACTATTGGTATTAGTATTTACTGTAATAGTGACACAAGATTTTTCCCCAAGATGCAAAAATTCTATATAAAGAAATAGAAGGGAGGAGAGGGGATAGAGGAAAAGGATAAACAATACTGGATTGTGACATCAATTTAAGCCAAAGATATACTCTAAGCTTTTACAGAGTGGTTAAAAAAAAAAAAAAAAAAAAAAAAAAAAAAAAAAAAACCAGCTGCTCTTGTGGGTTGTAATCCAGCCTGAGATATTAACAGAGAGTGGGAAATTGCAAGAGGGAATTTAGAAATTGCACCTTCAGTTGACAATGAGTGAACTTGCATCAGAACTGCAAACACATATCTGAGTGAATGATAGCCTACAGTAGACTGAGATAATTCCACAATAAATGAAAAGTTAATGGTATTTAACTCCAAAAGTATTTAAGCTAAAACCCAAAGTTGAGTTTTCTTTCTTTTTAATAGATCTTTTTCAGAGAAGTCATTAAAAAAATGGGGTAGGGAAAGAGAAATTTATTTCTACTATTTACCATAGGTGTTTTCTTATTATGACATAGTTTTAAGGCTTCCAATTGAAGGCAAAATTAAAATGTAATGCTATAGAAATTGAAAAGTAAATTGTGCTGGCATTCAACATTTCTAAAAAAAAAAAAAAAATAGGACACAGCATAAAGACATACTGGTTTAACCAGAAAAATCTCTTTATAAAAGAAATATAAGCATGAAAACATAGGCCAATCATACTTAACTACACTGAAAAATACATCATTATGCCACAACCATAGAGAGACATAAGTTAAAGCTTTTTCCAGTTTGACAGGGCATTCCCTCTAGATATGAAAAAGCAGAATACACCAGGAAACAAAAACAAAACAAAATAAAATCTATTGTATTACATTTCCACCGATTTGAAGGCACATGGGTCAGAATATCCATGTAGTCACGTTTTTCACCAGCAGAGCTTGACTGCACATCTGTGGGCCCATGGCACATACTAGGCCATAACCTAGTGGGGCTTTTGCTGCCACGATTCTCACTAACATCCCCCACTTCCCTGAGAGAACACAATTGACTCCACCTCTGAATGTTAGGCCATTAAGTAGTATTTGGCTTGTGGGGCTGAAATTTTAACTCACCTAGAAGGAAAAAGGGAAAGGATGAACTGCCCTTGTTCAGCACTTACCACTCGGCCCCAGTTAGCCAGACTCCACATTGCCACCCCAAATACTTATCTTGAAAAATGGGTTTCCAACAAGGAAGAACAGAAACCACAAACAAGAACTCATATTCAAGACCTCAAACACCTGGCAGCATGATATCTTGCTGGCAGCATTTCAGCGGTAACTCTTTGCTAATCCCTGCCACCACCAGAAATGTACTGCTGGCCAGAGAAAGATGAAGGATGAAAAAAGAAAACTGATGCACATCATTTTTTCCTGCCGACTTTGGTGTACGTTCTCCATCTGCATCAAGGATTAAGTTCCATGTGATGAAGAGCTTAACACAATACAACACTCGTGCTTTGGTTTTCTCTTAAGAATCAATTGCATCACCCACTGACCAGCTATGCTTGGCAAAAGCAATCTTTCCATGCTTTAACAGATTTTGTTTGGCAAGCTAAATAAATGAGATGGAAACCGAGCATATCCATATGTTCTCTGCAGATAGACCTGGCACTCTTATCTTCAACAGAACATATGATGAAAGCCAACATTCAGAAAATGCATGCAAAACACATTAAAACAGAGAACACACCTGCCCTGTGCAAACAAGCCCAAATAGGTTCCTAGCCAATACCACAAGATGTCTTCAGGGACACTGCTGACAACATCCTCCTCAACTTCACAGTAAAAACAATATCCTACTTGTGGCAAAACAACTTGCATTCATGCCCTGGGTATACTGCAGCATGAGCAAGGTAACGTGAACCAAATAAAATGGCAGTATATTGTAGCTGTAATGATCCCCACACTTTAAGCAGGCCCTTTTATTTCATCAACATTTATTGCTCAAGTAGCATCTAAGAACTACTACAAACTCCAAACTGAAACAAGAAAATATCTTTGCCCAATATACTAATACATGCAAAGGTGTGCCTGTTTGTCTGTTGCTTGCATTTAAAATAACTTTCATTAAATGGGTTTAGAATGGTTCTCCACTGACACAGCAACACTTCCAACAAGTATGACACAGATCTTGTTATTCTTTTTCACCCAAAGTTTTTATCATTATATCTAGCAATCAACTTATCTCCCCAGAAAAATTATTTTAAACGCACAGAGCTTGGCACTGCATATTGTAGTAGACTACTGCAATGGCATAAAAAAAAAAAAAAAAAAAAAAAAAATATTCTTGAATGCATTCATTCAAACTCTTGACAGCCATCGCATCAGTGAATATACCCTAGTATTTGTCACAACCTATTAAAATCACTTTGCTGGTGAAGACATGACTGACAGTGTCAGCAAATATGAAGCTTTTAGCACAGTAAAAGAATAATAACTCAATGTGACTTTAAAGTTACATGCATGCATTAGGGAAGGCAAGAAAAACAACTAAATGGCTATAGTGAGAGATGAAACAGGATTTAAAAGGTCTAAAAACACTGCCAGATCCTTCCTACACCCTAAAAAATTACCTTGTGTCTTTTTTTGTTGCTTGCAACTGATGTCCGTGACTAATCAAAAGGTGTTGCTTAAAGTGGGCATCAACAGAAGTTAGTTACCTTATTACATCAGCATAGAGTGGCTTCATTAATTCCACCCAAGCAATGAGTGGAGAACTGTTCCATATGTATCAGTATAAATTAGTGTCCTACAGGCTATTAGTGACATATAGCATCATCCTCATGCACTGTGTCAAAACTCCGACAATTAAACTTTCACCAAAATTTAAATGCAGGGAATCTCCTCTACCCTGCACTTAAAATCTCACTCCTCTTGGATGCTCAGAAGTTGTTCCCCAATGCACATGGGCTCAAAGGACCATTAAGACTTTCTCCAGCAGGAAACATAAACAAGTGGTAAAATCATAAGTGGAGAAAACCAGATGATTCCAGTATTCTGCTTTCTTACCCCACTAAGGCTTTTTTCTTCATACTAAGTACACTTTAAGACATGCTGGCCAATATGTTTTAAATTATACTCAAACATGAATTTGCAACTTGTGTAGATAAGGTAGGTCTGTGTTTCTCTCTCACTGAACAGTTAATTGTTCATTCCACTGATACAAATAACAGTTTTGCTTAAGCACAGTAGGGTTTTGGCAGGAATGAAAGCAGATTGGTATCTGGCCACTGAAAGCTGCGTTTGAGAAGAATCTACAGACAAGACCTTTGCCCCTCCCTCTGTACAGTGCTAGTCTTTGTAGGGAATCAATCCACTTCACCACATGCCCTCTCCCACACAGAGCAGATGGGATGACTACCTCAGAAACAAACCACCCATGGGCATACCACAGCATTTGTCTCTTCTGTAGCTAGGTGGCAACAAGGACTGAGGTAGGAGACCAATTGCCATTTCATCTTTAGACTGGTCCAACACCCTGACTCACTCAGTAAGTAGGCCACATGCAGGAGGACAACACAACCTCAGAACATTCACTTCACTGAATCCCAGATGGCACAAACACACAGTTCGTTACTGCCAACTCACTTTTATTCAAAACTGAGATAAAGCTCCCCTGCGCCACCAGAGATGTAGTTATCCCAGCCACTTAACATCAGCATCTTGAC